GGAGAGGGGAGAGGAGAGAGGAGAGAGGAGAGGGGAGAGGGGAGAGGAGGCTTGCGGAGGAGCTTTTGGCAGTTGGAGCTTACTTTAATACATAAATCACAACTTAGTAATAATTTATGTTCTAACTAGGCTAAGTCTGAACTTACACACAGCTGGTGCAACTGTCTGAAGGTTCAGTTTTCCTGTCATGCAGAGTTCTTCAGAACCAGAGGTGACAGGGGCAGTTTAAGTGAGTCTGCCACCTGATCTCAGATGCAGCATCAGAACGCTTTTAAAAAAGACAGACACAGAAAATGCTGAGCAATGACGCAGCAGCATCCCAAATCTGCTGCATCACTCGTTGCTGTGCAAATTCCACACTCTGTCTGTCTGTCCTCACAGGCCTCCTGTCCGTCTCTGACTAACGCTTGGACACAACGGCCTGTTGACGGCGCACCAAGTGGCCGTCAGGGCTGCTGTCATATCACCACATGTATCAGGGAGGAATAAGACGGTGACAGCGTGGTGGTTAAGTGTCACAGCAACAACGTCCTGGAGTGACTTAGACTTAGAAGTGTGTGTGTGTGTGTGTGTGTGTGTGAGATCTTATAGCTGTGTGAGAATGAAAAGCTGCACTGCATCAATTTTCTGTGACATCTCAGGAGGGCTGAGTGACGGGCTCAAGTGTCAGACTACAGAACTCTCACATGAAGATGCTCCGAAAGGAAAAAGACGGCAATTTAGAGTCCTGCCTCCTCTTTTATTTTATTTTATTTTATTTTATTGAGCACTTGTCATGCTGTGGAGAAAATGGAGATGCATAAATGATGCAATGAACTGTAAAATGGCCTTTTACTTGTTAGAATCTTTCAGTTGATCCCCATTCATGCTTTCATTGAATTATGTCTTTAATTTGAGCTATAAGGCCTGACCTGTTGGTGTGGAAGAGTGTATGGTGGTTTCCTGTGATAGCAGACTGATGAATAAAGTCAACACAGTCATACAAACTCTTAAAGGGTGCACAGGCCAGTCACTGTATGAGGAATTCCACATTAGGCTAACTCACTAGCTAACGTTAGCTCCAAAGCCAGAAACCAAGGTTTTCCTTTAGGCTAACGTTACTTACTGTGTAACGTCCGGTGTCCACTGTGCGGTGTGTAACGTTACTTTTGTAACTCCTCAGAATGACGAATACGTTTTATAAATGAAGTTACACGTATCACTCCTTCCTCAGCGGGTTATTTCTCTAACGTTTTCCAGCCAACAGCCTTCGTTTGTGGTGAAAATAAGAACGCAGCGGTTTAATCAGAGGTAGCAGCCACAGCTGCCACAAGCTGTTGCTAGGCGACAAGGGCCACGCGTCAAGTCAGGCAGGACAGGTGTCTGAGATCCGGTTAGAACAGAACTTTCAAAATAAAGCGCGCGTACATTTTTCCTGTAACTTTTTTTTAATCTCTAAAAGAAGCAGTGGTTCCCAAACTTTTTCCTTCACAATCCCTGACTAAGATACATTTTATGGATATTTTACATAATATTCAATGCATAACAATAACAGTAGAGAATAACTGATACTGTACAATGAACCCAATAAGTGAACATAATAACTGCAGGAGGTTTGTGTAAACTGAGCAATTTGGTAGAATTTTCATCAGATTGTTTCTTGTGATCATTTATCAGAGATGAGTTTCCTGATATTTTTAGGAACTTACTATTCTTGTCTATAGTATGTTTTTTTTCTACAATCACACAGACTTAATAGTCTTTTTTTTAACAAATTCAGTGTTTTATCTCTCTGACACTTGAACTTTTCTAATGCATAAATAAAAGGCTGCTTATTAGAGAGTGAAGGCTCAGTGAATATATCTCATGTTCAGGTCTTCAAAGTTTTCTTAAATCTTATCTTAAATAATAATCTAAACTTTAAAAATAACAATTTCACTTAGTTTTCTTCTAAAATCAAGAAGGCCTTGCAAACCCCAATGAGGCTTTGGCAACCCCAAGTGGGGGTCCCGACCCCCAGGTTGGGAAACATGTAGTGGTATTTTTAACCTTCCATTCTCATGGAAAGTCAGTTACAGCCACAATGAGCTGTTGTATTAGCATTCAAGTCAAGTCAGCTGTGTTTACACAGATTAGAGGACCTTACAATTTTTACAACAGATGGCTGTAAGTGGCTCCCAAAGGTTGTTAGTCCACTCCAGTACAGACTACTACCTTTTTAAATTTAAATACTATAGTTTATGCCTTTAAAAATATATAAATATATGTATGTCATTGTGTTTATTTTCCTGCTTCTGGAAAGCACAGTGCTGAAAAGTGCTCCATTAAAGGTCCAGTGTGTAA